GATGTTACAATCCACCCCCTTTAAGGGCCCAACGTCCTAGTCAGAACACTCGCACCACACAGTAGAGTAGCTTTGATACTAAATTGTCACATCCTGAGATCGGCTCCGCCGTAACACGATATTGTCCGCTTTAGGCCCCCCTATCTGCCCTCAAGGTTTACTCACGAGCAACTTCTCAGTGAGTCACCCATTCCGGAATTGCTCTAGCCCCAACTCGCTTAACTTCGGAGTTACCATGACTCCGAAGCCAGTGAGCTCCCAAAAGACCTCGTTGCTAGATGGAGGCGGGCATGTACATATAAGGCACATCACCCTTTCTCCGTTGGTTGATGTGGGATGTTACAGTAATGGTGATGAAGACTCAAGTCACGATCACAGGCCAAAGTTGCTCACTCCTAAAAAGTGTGAATAATAATACTTAACCCACTAGAAAGAATGTATGCATTGTCGTTGATGATGAAGATGGAATTTGGAAGCTGTATATGGCTGCTGTTTAGACTGGTAGTTCCGTTAATGTAATATTTTCCAGTCCAATTTCCTGCCATTGTTACTTCCTCCAAGGCAAGCTTTTCATGAGTCAAGTCTGAATTGAGGTAATCTTTATTTATTATTTATGGAATGCATAGTCAAAACGACCAAAATCAGAGCCCTTTTTTGCGGTAATTAATTAGCATAACAATAAGACTAGAGACATCAAATTGTTTCACGAAATGATTGTTTTTACTTTTATTCATGGATTGAACCATTCACAACATATAAGTAAAAGGAATTAATAAGCAAATTATGGATGGTGCATCGCCCTAAGTTGCACATATATGTTTACAAAAACAACTTGCAATACATGATGACCTCGTGCATCACGCTAGTTATATATAGCGTTATTTTAAGAGGAACATTATCAGGAACAACTTTTCTTTTTTGCACTAATTAGTGACCAAGACCTCTTTGTGCACCAGATTCTCCTACAAAAGTTTTCCTGCATAAATGAAGAAATTCGCGACACACGACCTCGTGCATAACGCCAATCATATCTCCATAGAATCTTTGTTGATAATTGATGAAATGCTGGAGAAAGATTTCCCTCATGCTTATCTAAAGGGACGCGATCAAAGTGATGTTGAGATAGAATTCCCTCTTCTGAATTTTTTTCCAAATTCTTTCATGTTTTTTTATAAAATTTTTATTACAAAAAATTGATAGCCGTTGAATGGAGAAACAAACCGAGATGTTCTAATATAATTTTCCATAACTATTTGAATTAATTGGCAAAAAAAATATAATCATGATTGATATGAAATTATTTTGGGGTCTACATGACGTGAATTAATAGAAAATTTGGAATAAGTCCAAAATTTAGAACATAAATTGGCTTTAATCCACTGGACTTATTTGTTGCCATCAATATAAGTCCTTTAACTTTTCTGCAAAATAGGATTACATTCTTTTAAAAGTATTTTCGTATGTAGATCTATTATTATTATTATTTGTAAATTATATAGTTGCTTTATTATGTCCCTGAAGTATAAGTTGTGTATTAATTAATTTATAGGACCATAATTACGAGATTTTATTATGATTTTAATATAAGGTTATACATAGATTAATAAATTTCATAATATTGCCCATTGCATAGGTATATATGTGTTTTTTCATATTTTCGACAATGTGTAATAGTATTTTATGTACTTTAAAAAAAAATATATAGGTAACATACAATTTTATTTGTCTATTTTGTATCTGACTTATAGGTAGTCTTCTAATTTATGTTCCTAACTTATAGGTAACACGATTTATCACTAAGTCTTTTTCGTTGCTAATAATAACACTATTTACTTATATGTCAGGTATATAATTTCATATTGGTGCTTGTTTGATCGATTGGTATAATATGCATTAAATTTAGATTTTCAATGTGTTTTCTTTATTCACCTCAAATAGTAAAATCAACACAACAAAAAAGTAATAAATATCAAAGGACCTACATCTAAAACAAAAAACGTGTGGACTAAACCCAATAGCAATTAATCATTTTGAACATAGATATAAGAAGTCGAAATATTACATATAGTGATTGAACCTACAAGATAAAGTGGCGTAGCTTTACAAAGACTTCAGATAAGATAAGTGATGAAGATTCGAGTCACAATCATGGGCCAAAGGCAAGGCTGCTCACTACTAAAAAGTGTGAATAATAATTAACCCACTAGAAAGAATGCCGGCATTGTCGTCCATGATGAAAATCAAGATGGAAAAAAATTGAAAGCATCTGGATGCTCTTAAGACTAGTAAGCATCTTGTCTGAATTGGGGGTCGACTTTATTTAATGCTCTACATGTTTTGTAGAGCTTCATACTTTCTCAGTGATCATGACATTGGCATTGCACAATTCAACATGATTGTCCTCCTCCAGCGGTACAAATTTGTCTGTTGCAATAATATAATAAATTGCGCAGTTTACGTCTGGGTCGTCTCTAACTCGTTGGAAGTCCATGACCTACATCCAATATAATTTAGTCCCACCAAAATTCCAATAATTTGGACGTCGATACATGCATGCATGGTCCAATTCATGCACAACTTTTTCAGATTAGTCATGATCATGAAGCACTAAGCTGCTCACTACTAAAGCTTAGTGTGAACATGATTTTTCCTCCTTAATGTTCTCACTTTCTTTTCCTCCAATTGCGTTGTCCAGTTTTTTGGAGTGACCAGCTTTTGTAATACGGCAAATAAATAGAGTCACAATCACGGGCCAAAGCTTTTTTGGAGTGACCTCCTTAATGTTCTCACTTTCTTTTCCTCCAATTGATTTCGAATCGTGGTCCGAAGTAACAACCTTGACCAATGCCAAATGGGTATGGAATACTAATACTTATGTGCAACTTTGAATACTAATACTAATCTCTCAATGGTGTATGAATAAAAGGAAAAACAAAAAAAGAAATCTCCTAATGTGTAGGGTATATAATATTCCTCCATGGACATCATGGACACAACCCGTCATCTTTTTTTGCCTCGCTAATTCTTCCCATAAGATTGGGCCACCGGCGGATCCATAACTCAACTCGAATAGCTTTTAGGCCCAATCATTTCTTTATTTATAGGGTTTATTTATTTATTTTTTATTTGTATAGTAATGGTTCCTCAACTATATTCGGAGTTACATTTTGGTGGTCACTCAACTCCAAAAAATAGTTACAAAGATCACTCAATTAGGTATTGTGTTGCACCATTAGTCCCTACGGTCAAGAACACAACACCTAATTGAGTGACCTCTGTAACTATTTTTGGAGTTGAATGACCAAAATGTAACTTTGAGTATAGTTGAGAGACCATTGGTACAAATAACTCTTATTTATTTATTATTTGTTATTTTGTTTTTATGAATTTCTAAGTTTACCCATGGATTTAACGGAAAAGTAAACAGACTTGACAAAAGGGACTAGTAATACAACACCATACATAATTGGGGGACCTTTGCAGCTATTTTTGGAGTTGAATAATCAAAATGTAACTACGGGTATAGTTTAAGGACCATTCCTACCCAAAAAAAACCCTTATTTATATATAATTTTTGTTCAATTTTCTTACGATGGACGAAATCTTCTGACGAAACAAGAGGGAAGCATCAATGATCCAGTAGACTGACTCTGTACACACAAAACAAAGACAGAGACTTTATGTGGCGTTAAGGAGAAATGTTTCTATTCGCTCTGTGTATTGTTGATATACTAATGCTTTGAGGGGTTTTCTTTTTCTCTGTTTAGCTGCTGAGAAATTGAGTAGAAAAGGAAAAGAAAGCGAAATCTGATTAACAATGTGAGAGAGAATGATATATTAATGCTTTGGTCAGTGGGTTGGAATCTGCAAGTCCTTGCTATGGCGAGAGAGAATGATTAACAATGTTGATTATTGAAGAAAGGGTGATTAAAATTTAACTCTATTGCTGAAGAAAGGGTATTATATATTCTCGATTTATCACAATGTTGTAACATTTATTTGGACAAGGGTGTGACTTCTAGGGCTGCTAAAATAGTTCCTTTGTTCTCTTTGTTGCAAGTTTTAGATATTTTTGCAAACAAATGCAGATCCAAACTCATCCTAGCTGGACATTTTAAACCACCCAAAGACATCTCGGACTGAAAAGTGACAAATTCCCAACTGATAAATCACTGGCAATACTGCGCCAAAGCACGCATAAATCAAGTCTCTTCTGCACATAAATCAACCTTTCTCCGTAGTTCATTTCCCTAAACCTCATTTAATTATGTTAACTTCTTAAACGATTACATGCTTTTCAATCTGAAAATCTTCAATTCATAACATCCATAAATATAGAAGACCAACTCGGAACATGACAAATGTAGTATTATGCACGAAAAACTACAATGGATACATCAGTAGCAGTAGCAGCAAGTCAATCTATTGTTTGTGGCATTTGTAAGTTCTTGCGCAGTAAAGACTGGTATGGGGTGGCTCTAAGTCATGGATTAGGGGTAATATATGATCTTCCTCTACAAATTTGTCTGATCCCATAATGTTCCAGTCTTTGTGGCTGTGATACATGTTTTTGTTCTCTTAGCTATTACCCTGTCTCCATTTTCATCTTACCCTCTTACTCTAGAAAACCAATATGCTACAATTTTTAGAACACTCGCAAAGAAGAACGAACTCAAGAAGCTTATGGGTAATGCCAGCCAACAACTTTGCGCTGTTTCAAATTTAAAATTAGCGCGCAAATGCCATTTAGGATTGATGAAAAATGTAAAGAAGAATGAATTTTTGTTTTCTTCTTTTTGGTGGAGAGACCATATATGATAAGCTTGTACTTGATATATCAAATTATAAATTCAAGATTGGTGATAAAATTAGTGGGAAACAAACGAGGGACCTTTTTGTTCTCTTATTTCTGCAAGCACACAACAAAGTTGCAATAGATATATGCTGATGACATAGTTCTATTTTAAGAGGAATATTACCAGGAACAAGTAGTCAACTGATTATCGCCCATCTCCACGAGGCGTTACCATCTGGATTTGATTTTGCATGCTCCTTTCATAATCTGCACTGATTAAAATACTACTATAACTAGCAGCATCACCCTCACCTCTGATATCCACAAAGGAAGAGCTTGAAACAGGTGACCCAAGCAAGTAGTCGGTATCTTTCTGAGTTCGAGGGAAATTAGGCTTTCCTCCACTTGGATACAGTTCCATAGTTGGCACTAATCCATCGAGCTCTGCAGCTACTTCTTTCATGGAGGGCCTTTCTTCCCCTCTTAGCCTTAAGCATCTTTTGCCAGATCGGCCACTTTTGTGACTCTCTCAAAGTGTCCCTCCACTATTTCATCATCAAGAATTTGACCCAAGCGATCCGAGTCCAACAAGGAAACAAAGACTTTTGCTAGGTTTCTCTCTGCCTCGGGCTTTTCAAAACAAAGAGCCCTTTGGCTTGTGAGTAGCTCCACTAGGACAACTCCGAAACTATAGACGTCACTCTTTTCTGTTAGTATGTTTGACTGAAGATATTCAGGGTCTAAGTATCCGACTGTCCCTTGCACAAAAGTTGATAGTTTGTCTTCATCTTGATCAGGAACCAATCGTGAAGCTCCAAAATCGGATACTTTTGCCGTGTAGTTTTCGTCTAATAGTATATTTGTTGCTTTCACATCTCGGTGTATGATCGGGGTAGAAGTGGAGTAGTGCAAGTAAGCTAGTGCCTCTGCTGTATCTGATGCTATCTTCAATCGTAATGGCAATGAAAGGGGTGATGTTCCTTTGTTGTTTTTCCTATGAATGTGCTCATAAAGAGTGCCATGGGCGATGAACTCGTAAACCAATATTGGTGTTTGGGTCTCCAAACAACAACCTAGCAGTCTCACAACATTTTTATGGTGGATTTGAGAAAGAACAATCACCTCGTTAACAAATTGCCTACTCTCGGTAATTGGGGCACTAACTTTGGACTTCTTTATGGCAACCACTTGTTCATTTGACAGTATTCCTTTGTAAACAGTTTCCATAGCCTCCTTCACCAATTTTTCCGCTTACATGATAATTGTTTGTGGCCTTTTTAAGTTCTTCTTCAGTAAAAATTCTGGCTGCTGTCCGAACAGATCCAGCATAACTGGCCAGTTCTTGCTTTAAAAATAAGCCACCATTATCTTCAAAGTATTTTTGTTTGAGTTTGTTGAACTTTCTGTTCTTCATTTCCTGATATATACAAAAACTCGCAACCACTAAAACCAAGATGCTCAAAGGAATACCTGCAGAAATTAAAAATCATAGTCAAAGCTGATATTCGTAATTTAATTATTACCAAAAGTCACTTTTGGTTCCCGTAATTTTGCACTTCAATCACTGTTGACCATGTAGTTTAAATTCCATCAATTTTTCCATTGTAGTTTTATAATTGTAGCAATTTGAGGAAAATTCTAATTTCCATCAAATTATTCTAATTTCTGTCATCCATTCAGGGTAAAAAATGGTAAAATGGCCAAATTTGAGGATTGTTCTTAAATTGCTACAGTTACGAAACTACAATGGCAAAATTGACGAAATTGAAACTATATGGTCAAAAATGTTTGAAGTGTCAAACTACACGGATCAAAAGTGACTACCTTTAATTATTTATGCTATTTTTATAGTATCCTGGGTCAGGTGTCAAAACTATATTTCTAATTAAAAACAGAAATATATAGGGTATTAACAAATCTTCTAATAACTCTTCATTCATCAACTCATATTTAATAAACTAGATTAATAATATATCAGCCAACTATTTGTTAACTTTGAAAGTAATGCTAACTATTTTGTAATGAACTCTCCATAGGTACCTCTTTTTTTTTCCTCGTAATAAAATTTGTTTCCCTGCTATTTTGTTTCAGAATCATGAATAATTACCATGCATAGCATATACTGTTTGTGTGTTGTATGTTTTGTATGGCCAACGTGTTGAATTAATTTGCTATAAAATATATAGGATGCATGCTTATATCTAAAATAGCTAGCTGGTTATACATACCCAATGAAATTGCAGATTTGATGCATGCGTAATTTTCAATGAAATTGCAGATTTGATGCATGTAATTGCGTCCTGGTTTTTGTAGCCACTATTACATGAGCAAGAGTAATTTCCAGGTAGATTTTTGCACTTTCCATTGTTACAAAGGGTCGAATTCAAAGCGCACTCATCAGTATCTGAAAGAAATAGGAAAAACACATATATAGATATATATCACGTATCAATTAAGAAGAATCCCCAATTTTGAGCAACAATAGTTAACTAGCACACGCACAAACATATGTTTATTGCAGTATACTAATTTTTCTCGTGTTGTGAGACTAGGATATTGTCAAATTCAAATACCTTGGCAACCATCTGGGTGGTATGGATTCCCATGGTACCCTGGCTTGCACTTGCAAGTGTAACCTGCAGACCCAACAGTAGTACAGTTGCTATTTCCCTTGCATGCAAAACCTTCGCTCTTTTGAGCTGCGTCACATGACTGATTCCCAATTTCCCAATTAAGAGCCGCCGGAAGCAAGGTTCTGTTGTTGAGCTGTTGAAAATTTATACCATTGAATTCGAACTGGCCATCTTGCACAATAAACGAGTAGCTGCAGGGGTTGAAGCCCAAAATATCGCTGTGATTTCTAAAGCTTTTCAACGTGACCGTCTGATTCTTTAGCCCTCCAGGGATGGAAGTTTGGCAGCAACCAACGCCAGAGCAAGTGTTCTGCTCGTCAACAACGTTGCCTAGACTATCACATATGGACAAGCACCCCGTCGTGAACTTCTGGTCTTCTCTGTAGCCTCTGAAAAACGCGTAAGTGTCGCAGCCAAGGACGTAGAACTTGTTCTTGGTATGAGAGATGGTGTAGGGAGGAGGCACCCACAGCCTGGGGACGTTGTGGCCAGTCGAGTTTCCCTGAGCGTCGTAACAGTCTTCGGCAACGTACTGAAGTATTTGGAGCTCACCGTCCTCAATGGAAAAGTTGGTGATTATGATATTACTTGTCAACAACTGTGCTTTTGGGGGCTGGGAGGATTGGTTGCAAGTGATGTTGAATTGGGGTTGGAGGTAGCAGCCAGGGCCTATGCCAAAGGGATATGGGATTGAGAGATTGCCACAATGGTCTTGGCAGCCAGGGAGGGCTTGTGCTGCTGTTGGAATTGGAGTTGCTAATAATAATATCACAACCAAATCCGCCACTACTAAAGAGAGTTGAAGGATAAGTAGCATCCTCATATTATATGCTACAAATTGTGTTTATGTTTTGGGATGGTTTTCGAGTGTGAAGAAAACAGCCAACAACCCTGGTTTTTGAATGGTTATGGTAGCTACGTATACTACAAGTTGTATTGTTTACGTTGCAAGTGAAGAAACTGCTAGCAAGCCTGGCCTTTCTATAGATATGGAACGAATGAAGACTTGTATTGTATGCCGACATCTAAGTCGTCCGTCTTACTATTTCCAACAACTACTAAAATAGCAAGCAACTACTGGGATGGGATTGTCACATTTCTTTTTTATTTTATTAATTTTTTTCCGTTGAAACTGAGAGAATATGACATTATATGTAAAATATATACCTAAGTGAATATGATCCCACTAGCGCTATTAATTAAATATAAAATGAAATTTTAAGATTGGAGATAGTGGCAGTGAAAAAACAGTTGGTTAAGGCGTAGAATTTTTCTTTGATTAATCCTATATATGTAGATTTATAAGTAACTACGTGTCCCCTTGACATAAATAAATTTAATTTAGTAAGTTGAACCAGAGCATAATATATATAGTTGTGTGTGTTGTAGCCTGTAGGCACAACATCAGTTTCATCTCTTTATTAGTTTATTAGGATTATAATATATATGGATGGAGAAATGACTCCGGACATATAAGGGTCAGCAAATACTTTTAAACGAGGATGTGACAAACAACAATTCTAGATCCAACGACTTATTCTACACATTTGCAATTAAAGTTTTTTTATAAAAAAAACATACAAATCACCTTGAATTGAAAAGTGACATATATATATTTATATATATATATATATCCCAACTGATATATCCCATCTGTCATCAATCGGGTCTTAGGTTTTAGGTCTTACCCTGGTTTTGATTATGAGAAGTTTGCTCGTGTTTCTTTTCAGTACAATGTTGATTTGTTTAAAACCATGGCCTATACTGATCAAACTATGCCTCTGACCTCTAAAGGCCTCCTTATCAAGTCTTATCTCTCACCATTTTACAAATTTTTATGGGACTTTATCCGTCACAATGTTCTCCCCACTGGAAACAATTCCAATCCCACTCTGGCTGGCTGTCAACTCATGATTTCAATGGTGAATCATGATAAAATTCCCCTTGGGGATATTATTTATCATGCAATTCTTGGCAAAACTATTGGTCATGGTACAAAACACAAGGGGACTCTTGTCTTCCCCTGTCTTATCTAGTGTCTCTGTGAGAGCAACCAAGTGGCCTTTCTTGATTCCGATCAGTGGAATCCACCCATTGCTCCGTTTGGCAAGGCCTCTGCTGCCCTTAGCCAAAAGGTGTCAAAACCCTTCCTGACATCTGTGTCATCTACTTCTGAAAATGCCTCCCTCAGATCTCAGCTTGCTGCCAAGGAGAGACACATTCAACATCTGTTAAGTCAAATTCCATCCTTTTCGGTTCCTGCTGCTGCTGCTGAAGTACATGCTCAACCAACTCCTGCCACGGAGGACTCAGATGACTTTGTAGATTATGATGAATTTGCTGATTCTCTTGTTTTCTAGCTGCAGTGTTCTACATAGGAAGTGTCCTAGATAGGGGGAGTATTTTTGGACAGGTTGGGTGTATATCATTGTAATCACATTGTGAGGGTTTTGGTTTTGCTTGGGTAGTCTGTGCATCTTGTTTAGGGGGAATTGTGTTGTACTGTTTTGAACAAGTGTTATTTTCCTTGTAATCAATCTATGCTAATTGTTTTTAACTTTGTTCAAATCAGATTCTCTGCCTTGTGTTTAAACCTACTGTGTGCTGTTTCTAATTCCTTGCCTTTTTTGCACTTTCCTTATCAACTAGGGGGAGCACACTCTCAACCCCCCATATTGCATATTATTTTAAATTATGTGATATAATATGCTTGTTTTTGTGCTTGGGAGATTGGCTGTTTTTGCAAGTACTTTCACTTCATCATCTCCTTAGGTTTGGTCTTGGGTTGAGTGTTTTTAGAGAGTGTTGTCAAGGAAAGCCAAAAAAAAAGGAGATTGTTAATGTATGCATTTATGAGTTTTTCTTTTGGCTTCCCTTGACATCTTTGTAATAGGATTGTTATTGTGTTTATCAAGCTCATGTTTAGTTTAAGAATAGCTTCTCTAGGTGTTCTTAACTAACAACTATCCTATGGAGGCTCAAGCAAATTGTTAAAGGTAAATTGTGCATTGCATATCATTGCATTAAATTGTTTTCATAAAATGATGACTAGTCATCTGTTTCTCATATGCCAAGTCATCCTTGCTCTGTAGGATTTCCAGCTGGTTAACCAACTTTTTTGTCATATTCTCTTTTCTCTCTCTATTGCCATGTGTCATTTTGACCTAAGGGATTTTTGTTTGTAAAGGCTAGTGAATTCCTCTTTTAGCAGCCGTCTCTTTTGTGTGGAAGTTTTGGAAAGATTGGCTTGCTATCTTTCTCTTCTTCTTCCTCAAGAGAGAACCAAATATTTCATCTATGAGTTTTTCCCGTTGATTTCTTTTTGAAAAACTGCATTTGAAATACTAATATGCATCTAGCTTCATAAAACACTCTCTCATTTATATCTAGGTCAGATTCAAGACTGATTTCTTCAAGAGTATGGTTTCTTGAAGAAATTGGTCATTCTCCTTTGAATCCAAATTTTGGTTTCGGTTTGAATTGGAGTTTGCAAGCTAGTGCCATGGGATGAACGAGCTGGAGAATGAGCTGCCATTGATATGAAGAATTGAGCTTCAAGTTTTGCTAAGTTGGAGAAGAAGATTGCACGAAGGAGGTATAGCTCATATTCCTAAATAGATTTAGGTGTTTCTTGAGCTTGGTTGTGTTTCCTTTGTAAGAATCTTTTTCTACTTAGTGGATTGCCTAGTCGATTGATGACTCCCAGTTTTTCCCAATGGTGGGTTTCTGGGTGAACAATTTCTGTTTTACATATCTGTATTTTTTTCTGGGTTTGTGTTCTTGGTGATTGACTAGTCATCTTTATCTGCTGTTTGGTATATACTTGATTATAATGATTTCACACACTTTCACCATAGTTGTTGCTAGCACAAAGGATGTCTAGATTAATGGGTCCTTTTGAGTGCCTAGGTTGTCACTAGTAATCTTCTAGGGTTGCAGGTACTTTGTGGCATGCTCTATGTGCACTCTTGATTGTGGTTGTTCATGACTAGCTGTTGACTAGTCATAAGTGTCTTCGGTAAAGTTCTAAAGTGTGTGAAGGTTGTTGTGTCTTGGTTGTGTCGTAAAATTTACCCCTCGTCACCTAAATACTAATTTCATAAGGATTTTTTTCGGGTTTTAAAATTATATTGAAGGTCTTGTGTGGCTATATGTATTTATAATCTCCTTGTGTGCTAGGATATTTAGAAAATATATTTATTTGGTTAGATTGTGTCTCTCAGGGCCAGTTTGGTATTGTTGTGCTGTAAAAATAATTGCTGTTAGATTTGCTGTAACAGAAATCAGTTGTGAGAGAAAGTAGTTTGGCGTTTGGTAAATTTTTTGTTAAAGTGTTGTTGGTACTAATTCCCGCATAATCAAAAAAATGATTCCCGAATAATCATTAAACACAACACTTCTTCGAAACTGATTCATACATAATAAGAAAATGAAAGCACCTCATTAGTTGCTTTCCCTTATAGCTTTCTCTCACAACATTTTTAACAATATATAAGTGATTTTGTCATAATTTATCAAACGGGCTGAGCTTTCTAAAATTTAAAAAAAATCACTTATTACCCCAAATAAACATTGTCAAACGGACACTTAATGTAATTTTTTCCTGCCCAACTCAACAAATTAGTTTTGAGCTCTATCCATCGTGGATTGAAGTCACAGTTGTTCTGAGTAAATAAAAATAAGAATAAATGAGCCTTCAGTTCAGAGCGGGGCCCATATTTGAATCAATCAGAGAGGCTAGAGGCATATTATTATTTGGTGGAAACACTTAATGAAGCATTAATTTTAGCACAAAACAATGAAGTAATATTAGAGTCTATTATTCAGCAAATAATGTCTCGTCAATGAGACGTTGCAGATCATTTCCACATAATTATATTTGAAATTATTTGTCCAGCTATATGAATGACCTCAATTAAATTAATTAAATATATGTACCAAACATTAGAAAATATGCTCCTATAATCTTTTGACAGGTAATGAGACCCTAGCTAATGTGGGTTGGGCAGATTTGGAAAGAAAAAAGCTTAGGTGGAATGGGTGTCTTGATCATTTTCCAGGGCCAAAATCACCTCTATACCTTTCTCGGCTTTTTGGCTAACATCAAGTAAGAAGCAAGATTTTTATTGTTTAAAAAAACATTTAAGTATAACTATTCCAAAAAAATAATAAAAATAGTTGAAAATTAAAAAATTATATCGCCTTTTCATCAAGCACGGCCAACATGAATGCATGTCCCAAATCATGTACATCACTTTTTAAATTGATGATAACTTTGGAAGAAGAAAAAGAATAATGATTTTCTTTTCCTTTTTTTCTTTGAGGGGAGACCATATTATAAAGGAATTACGATGATTACGGAAAGTGTTAGAAATCAACGTTATATAACTTGGACATTTCGAATACAAACCAGCCAATTACAGAAGTATTGCTTGCATTGCACACTTTTATTTTACGAGGCACTCCCTCAAAATGTAACAAACTGAAATTCAAATCAACGACCATGATCGTAAGGCTTCACCATTTGGCTTTGGTCGTCTTGCAGTAGTGGTTGCAATTGAATCACTATCACCAACTTCACCTCTCACATCCAAAACGTAATTATAATAATTAGCAGCAGGTGACCCGAGCAAGTGGTCGGAATCTTTGGAAGACCGTTGGATATCATCAGCCTTTTCCCCAGCCGTATTCTTTCCCATAATTTGCACTAATCCCAGGAGCTCCACGGCTACTTCATTCATGGGAGGCCTTTCTTCACCTCTTAACGCTAAACATTTGTTTGCCAGATTGGCAACTTTTTCTACGATTGTCTCGAAATTATGT